CTGGTGCATTGAGCAGGGTCCCAATCGGGGTCTGGTGCATTCTGGTGCATTTAGCAGGGTCCCATTTGGGGTCTGGTGCATTCTGGTGCATTTAGCAGGGTCCCAATCGGGGTCTGGTGCATTCTGGTGCATAGAGCAGGGTCCCATTTGGGGTCTGGTGCATTCTGGTGCATTTAGCAGGGTCCCTGGCAAATACCTGGTGGGAGTTATGGGTATGGGTAAGTATGCCATGGATTTGTACACATTCAGCTAAAAAGTGGCCTTATGTACATGTACACGTACTGCATGCCTACTGTAAGGTTCAACAGGTGCTGGAATGCAACATGCCCTCCACTGGGTCTTGCGAATAAGTCAACATGTATTACCCTAAACAGTATGTGTTGCATTCATTTCAAAACGGCAGCCCTTGAAACAGTAGACTAGCTTTCCCAAGTCAACACCTACATGTACCATTCCTTGAAATTGTGCAACAAAATATCAAAGTTTACAAGTTGTGCATTTAAGTTAAAACTATGATTTATCTCTAGAGTGTAAGACCGTGTCCGAAACAGGTTTCCAGAGCTACGGCTAGGTATATTGTCTACGCGTCTCTGTGCATTTCCAATGGAGTGAAGACCTAGACCTTGCTCTAAACAAGAGATTCCGATGCAGCCTAAGCTAATAATCTGAGCAGCTGATCTCACACAGTTATTTCAAAGACTTCATACAAGAAGTTCAGATGGGCAATTAATGGCCATTCCTTTTTCTTAACAAAGCCACCTAACACTGATCAACCACCGACAACCTCCCCCAAAAATACAAAATTAAAATGACATTCTTTTAATTCCTAACACAAATGGAATTCTTGTGGAATTTTTTAAAAATGAATTTAATGGTGTGACTTTTACAGTGGATTCCTTACCTTTGTCTTCTGTTTGACACAACATTGCCAGTGGTCAAACACTTTGGTCAATCGCTCCAAGCCACCATGGTGGAAATGCAGGATTTTATACTGACTCTCCTGGCTTGCAATAACCAACTGACCACTGTTGCTGTTCTCACCGCTGAAGAAAACTCGCAGTGACCGCATGTGGCTCAGATCGACTGAGAAGACGCCGCACAGCTGCTCCTTGGGAGTCTTGCTTGCAGATTTGGATCCTGCTGAGGTGTACTCGATGGAATTCTCCGGGAAGGTGAGATTGTGGCTGACTATGGGGCTGGCGGGAGACATGTGCGACGGTGGGGTGTTCTGGTTGTAGAGTGGGATGAAGGGGTCGAAGGGTTCATTCCCGGGGCTGGATGGCAGGGAGCCCGGGTCAGGGTTGGAGGTGGTTGGGGTTGTGGAGGAGGACACGGAAGCTCCGCGATCCTCCGAGTCCATGTCCGAGCTGTCCTGCAGGTCACGGAGCATCTGATCCCGCATCAGACTGCGGAGAGGAGAGGGCAAGGAGCTGGGGTTGGACGATGCTGAGCTAAGACTCTCATCCTTGACTTTACTGTTGGAGATGTTTGCCATTGTGTCCGCGGGGCCGACGTTCAGGTCCTTGGGCCTCTCTAGCTCTGTCGAAGTTGAAGATTTCTCAGGGCAGGGATTCTTGTTGCCAAGCAGGTGAGCCAGCCGAGCATCTGTTGAGAAGCTGTCGCTCTCTGAGGATGGGCTGGTATCACATGGTCTCTCAAAAACATCTCGCCTCTGAGGAGAGACAGGGCTTTCAGGATTTGAGTTCAGCTCATCGGCATCTTCTTTGTTTTTCTTATCTTCCATTTCCACAGACACAGACCTGTTTTGCTCTGCTGGGCCAGATTCAAGTTCTACTGACCCATCACCTTCCGCTTCTGAGTCCTGGCAACTTTCAGAAATTGCGACAGGATTCTGTCTCCCCGCATCCCCACCACCATCATGAGCAGCTTCAGGGGCATCGTCTTCTGATGACACACTAGCTTCAGCGTCTCCTTTGGCAGCTGCATCTGTTGGAGCTGCGTGCGGCTTCAAATTTTCCTCTTCCTCCTCATTTTTGACTGGTGATTGCTTAGGGGAGGTCCTAGGCGACATCCGCTGGTGCTTTTCGAGTGAGGAGTTGGGTATCCATGTGAGGATTAGGGAAGATGCCACCCGCCCATTACCCTGAGACCTGAGGGTCAGGTACCCCGGGTAGTGCTCAGCCGTCTTGGCCAGACTGGACGGAGGGTGCACACAGACGTTGTTCTTGCAATAGATGATCTCGCCATCCAGCGGGGGCGCCCTGATGTACTCCGGGTCGGAGATGCCGAGAAAGTCACTGAACTTCTTGAGAAGGAAAGACATGGTGAAATGGAAGAGTCCAAAGCTGCTGCTGCGATTTGAAAGTCAGAGAAAACTTTCACGTAGAAACTGCCGAGTTTGGAATTCCTACGGCTGTTAATTCTGGTTCTATCTGCCTCATACTGAGATTTGGATGACAGAGCTCCGCATCTGCTAACAAATAAAGAAAAAAGATTATGGAAAAATGGAAGCTTGTACACATATGTTCACCATCTGGAAAGAGGATTTCAGTTAGAAAGGTTCACTTCAAGTGGTCTCATACAACAAGATTTATTGATCAAGATGCACATTTCAAAGCACACTGAGATACAATTCCTAGTAATGACTATTATTAATAAGAGTACTGAAGAACCCGCACAAAGCAATTCACGAATGAATTGATCTGGTAGGGTCTACCATTCATGTAAATATAAGCACATGCAGCTAGGCATGGGCCATATGAATTCATGAGTTCATGATGTCATTCCAGTCACAACAATCTGCGTTTCAAATTAGAGTGCAGTTTTCACAGAACTGAATACAGAGTTCAAAATAGTAAATAATTAACTACATGAACCATTAACTGCATGTACAATGTACTTGGATGCAATAATTATCAACTGCACAATGAACATAAGTGCATATTACATGTACACAGATCACACCTGATAAACGCTATCATGCCTGACGCAGCCTAAGCATACAACATGCGACGGCACCTACTCAATGAATAAATTCCAATCAGAGACACGAATCAAGTTACACAGACCAGTCTTATTCGACTGCTTAAAACCCAAACCATCCTGAACCCAACAAGGTTATGCAGGATTTCAATGGTCCCTAGGGGGTTCTAATTAGACTCATACATGTAAATGTACAGTACATGGCGGGCAATATACTTACCGTTTAGAAAGGCCCCAAATGACCAATTTGACCTGTGTACGTAATTGAGTGATGTGATGAAAATGGCAAACTCTGAAGTCTGAATGGATGGGTGTTCCTGATACTTGAAATAAAAAAGGAGGGCAAGGGGACATGCGGACATCTGCTCTTAATCTGGTTTCATTCACTGGCAGTGCCATGTGCTGACCAAGTATGCAGGGTAACAGGTGTTCACTGAGAATGGTTGGATGAATCATGCTTTCGACAACTGTCATAGTCCATCTCAAAATAAAATGAACACCAATAAGCAACATTTTCTCAACTATTATCCTACATGTACATGTGCATGTATATTTGTAAACAAAATTTTTAATGAATTGCAAATAATTAATAGACGTGTCCGGTATGTCACCCTGTGACTTACTGTACATGTACCAGTACAGTATGGTATGGATTTTTAAATTCAGTCTTACGGTACATGTACATTTTTATACAGTGTCTCTGTGGCCTCTAGAATGAGTTGGTTCGGTGTTTCAAGGAGCCATGGTCTTTCAGGAACAAAGCATGTGAGTGAGTCAGCGTATGGCTGCGCTGACAGGACGGACTGTCGCGCGCACGTGTAGCTTTTACCAAATAGCCATGTACTGGGCATGCACTGTTGGAATACCAAACTGGCTCATTAATTAACAGTGTGCATGTACATGTACACGTACATGTATGCATGACAATATTACTGTCAAAGCACAGTGTACATGCACATAACAAGGTGGCTTGGCTTTCGAGGCACTATGACATTAAGGGGACGATTTATTTCATTAGTCATGTTAGTAAAGTTGGGATCAAGTTGTGGGGACAAAAATGTGTCCCTGTGACATTTTTGGTCCCATTTGGACACATGCCTTGTCCCTATAACCCGATAACAAGTAGGGTTCTTCTCAATGAAACATGTACTTGTATGACCCTTAAACCTGTTTGGAGGTCATCAAATGCATTGGCCTTGCTTGAATCACCAAATTTTTATCAGCAAATATCTGTGTCACATCTTGGCAGGTACATCACTGGGCTGTGTGTAATCTCAACATCCAATCCATCACCACGAAAGAGGAACCCTGTCACAACGGCCATTTTTTCTCAGTGATTTTCCCATGTGTATTGCCTCTTTTACCAGAGTATTTGTTTTGCTGGCCAGTACCAAGTGTAAGATTTTACAGGGGAGGGGCATGCATCGGGGGGGGGGGGGGGGAGGAAGAGGAAGGGAGCAGAACCCCACTTGTAATGTAGAAACCCCCTTCCCACAATGCCCTTTGAAATGTTCCAACAGATACATATACATGTACTGGATTTTTATTATAAACTTGATCTCAAAAAATACCCAGAAATTACATGTCCAGTGGAACGCCTTTATAACAAACACGAGGGGATCCACGTGAAATGTTTGGTACAGTGGTTGTTCGGTATACATGTAGCGTGATTAACTGCAGAACGTTTTGTTGCCGTGTTGAATAGCGCCCTCTCTTGTCTAACTGAAGTGCACCCTCTTTTGATACCATGGTTCACTGTTTTCGTGATGTTTTGCCGTTTCATTCACGTTTTGACGTTTCTAGAAATGTATCTGTTAATTACTTTTGTTTGTTATTAAATCTTGAGTTACAAAATTGCTATTTAGTTTATCCTAAAAGTTGTGAAGCTACCGCTCAGGATTGATCTCTGATGCATGCTGAGGCGAATCTCAGTTGATTTTCAACTGAATAATGTTCGGTTGGTTTTGTGCACAAAATATTGGGAGCCAAGGATGATGTTCGGTAAAGCTGAATATTCGGCATAGCGGTGTTAAGAATAGCGACGTTACACTGTATAGCCTCAAAATTTCTCTGTCTCACCTTGAAGAACCTCAGCCACCTGTGTATCAACCCTCTCCCCCACATTTCAGTCTACAATTACAGTGAGATGAGATTGGTTAGTGGGAAAAAAATCCCAGTTGAGGATAAATTACATGTACAGAGTAAAAAGAGTACTGAAAAAAAGATGATGAAATGCACTGACATGCTGTGTTTAGTGGATTGCCAGGGGGTCTTATTACCAGTGGTCCATTAGACAGTCTGACAACTGTGACCATATAGTTTTCAGGTCCCTTATTTTGCCACTTACTGTGAAAACCAATCAGACTTTACAATGGGTGGCAACATTTGGAACCTGGTGACTACATGTACATGGTCACAGATGTTAGGCAGAATTAGGAATCATTTTTATTGCCTTTAAACACATGTACTTCAGTATCTTGAACTGGAACTAAAAAAATCGTGATTCATGTGATTGAATATGAGCTACATGATTTAACTCGAGGCATTTCTGGGACTTTCAACACACTGACTATTACGACTGCAATATTCCACAACACAGAAGAATTTTTGATCATCTGCAGCAAGGAAGAAACATACACGTACATGTGCTACGTATAGTACATGTACATGTATATTCAAGGTACCCAAGAAAACATACACTGCGGTATCATTTGCAAGCACTTGCAAGTGAAAATTGCATGTACATGTATCTGTCTGGAAAACAGTGCCGATGAACAACGTACCAGTGCATGTATGTACAATGCACAAGTACAGTAAATGCAGTTTTAAAAATGTGGTCTGTTTTGGGGGTCAATAAATGGCAAAACCGTCAATGTACTGGTACATGTATTTCCATTAAAAATATCCAGCACACATCTGTGAATACAAATTCACGGGCATACAGTTCATCTGTGAACTTCAAGGGCATACTCCGCGAGATGCTTTACACAAATTTACTTCCAAATTTGAAACTGGATGTACGGTACTAACTTTTGTCAATATACATACTTGGACAGGGTTTCACTCACCACTCTTTTGAGTTTCACGCATCAGTGCTCATGCACAGTAATATCATAATTTGCTATCCAACCGGTGAATTTAAGCACACATATGACTGCTTCATGTTAATGGTTAATGACGCCGGATAGAAAAATCAATAGAAAAATGAAGCTCGGTATTGAGAATCTCCACAGCGCAGCGGACGATCAATAAAAACATGCAACAGCTGTCACAACACACGAAACCACTCGACTAGCTCAACAAACACTTGCTGCTTACAGGTAAATACCTGTACATGCTTATCACACACTGTACCTACCGGTATACATGTACATACATATTGCACATACATACTTACTTGTATGTACCAAGTGATATTTCCATTTGCAACATTTGTTGAAGAATGTTAATCAATGTTTGGCTGCACTTTTTTTTTCAAAACCTTCCTGTGTACAAAGCTAAGTTACACCTCTCAAGTCTCAAATGTACCACTCATACTCTTCTTCCTGTAAAGGGTTTTGAACTAATTGTGGACAGTTGGTGACCCAATGAAGCAGGCGTCCAACCTGCTATTTCTAAATTTAGAATAAAAGAATGGCTTTTTAACATTTCTGTCCAAACCTGTGGGGGAAAAACAGCCCAAGCAACATTTAAACACCACATAGCTAAATGATGGGCCTTTGTTTTGGGTTTTTTTTTAAATTTACATGAGGCCAAATCATCTGCAAAATTAACCTGGTTTATGGAACAGTGGTCTAATTACCAGAAGGCCACTGTTTCCTAAAGAACAGTTTGTGGTAATTACAAGCAAGCAGTGGGTGAGCCTGGCATACGACTACTTTTATGAAGACGTTATATGCATCCTAAAAATAGATTTTTCAACATGGCTTTGATACTCAGTTCAATGACTCATACTGTATGTTGGGCACACGCATGTCTTCATCACGCATGATGCATTATGCACCTTGCTGTGAGTAATTTTGGCACAGCAGGAATCTCTTCCTCTGTGGGACTTCTGTCCATATTCCTCTTCCAAAATTGTATGAAATTGATTTTTTCTCCCACTCCTTTTGCAGAACAAAGTCCACATGTTAATTCACAGCCTTGAAAACATGCATTCAAAGTAAATTTGCAGAGCTGTGCAAGGATAAGTGTATGAGAAAATGAAAAAAATTGCTCCTGCAATATTATTTTTTTTATGAGTAGACCACTAATCAAAGTTGGAAAGGAAGCGCTGGAAACATTAAAATAAAACAAAACAAAAACACGTACGAACAAACGAAATCAAGCACATGCACTAAAACATATAACTGGCCTATTTCCTTGCATGTTTGTTTGCTGCAATAGAACACAGCCATCAGATGATTAACAGTTGATGACAAACAAGAAATTTAGCATTACGCATTCATAAAATGATGAATGTGTGAATGGTAGGGGTGTTTGGTGCACCGTCTCTTCATTGCTTTCACAAACAGCTTAACCCTGCTCTTTTAAGTTAGGATCTACAGACCTGTAAACATGTACAATTTCTGTGTATAATTGAATTGTGTTTACTGATTTTTATATGATTGTCCTCTTTGTTAAATTTTGTCTTGTTTTGTTTTGTGTTTGATGATAAATGCTTTATTTTCAAATGTAGAATTTAATATTTATTTAGTTTTTAATCGTCATTGTAAATATAATTTGTTAATGGATCCCATTCCAGTAACTGGTGGTCCTTCTGCTGTTGGATGCAGTGAATAAATAAATATTGTATGCACCATATGTATCATAAAATAAGACTGGATTTCTTACACTGTCAATAATTACAGTTGCAATGTACATGCACTGACGTCAGATGCGTGGATGCATTATCATCATGTGACTTCACAGCAATCATGCATATACATGTACATGTATATGCAAACACTGGGTACTATTTGAATCACATCTGTAACAACACAATACACTGTAATTAATAGTAATGAAAGGCACCTGTGGTTAGGGGAAGCATTTTGTGGAGTACAGTGCTAATGTCTGCAATAACTCAAGCACACACCGGTAGACACGGAAGATATGACACTAAATCTGAAGAATGTGAACTGCTGCAGGGAAAACGAATGAGCAGGCCAAAAAAAAACTCTCCTTTCATCGGAAAAGAGTATTATTGCGTGATATACACATGCATGATGAAACAGTGCTCTGAATAAAAATGCTTAAGCGTTGCACCTCCACACTGAGATACACCTGTACATGTACATGTACACGTAAGTACAATGTGCTGGTGTAAGGACATGACTTCTGCTATGCATTTTTACATGTAAAGTAGGCCTACACTGTCAACTACAAAACTACATGTACCTGTACGGTACTTACGACGTTTTGGAAGATTTGTATTGGCTCTTTTCACTTGGTTCCTTCATGCTACATGTACATTGCTGTAATAGGTTGGCAGAGCACTGGAATATCAGTCTTATGAGCTTAGATTCGAGTACAGTAGTGTCGAGCCTTAACCCTAAATCCCTTAGGGGCATTTTTGCTGATATGGAACCCCATCCTGCAAAATCCTCCGACTGAGGATACAGCCTCCGATTGGATATAGCCACAACTCTCCCCAAACCGGCATATGTACATGTACGTGTCCATGTACCATACCTGTATTTCTTGAATGTGTTCTCTGAATGACCACTCCGTGTATCTCTGTCTTTCAAAATCAATATAATGAACACCTGATAGAGCAGTGCAAGTAATGCCCCATAGGTTCTGATCTTTTAATGTCACACTTGTGTTTTTCCTATGACTGGTAATCAGTACAAAAGTAAATAAGGTTAACTCACAAAGTGCTTGAAATCCCATGCAGCTATTAAAACACCAGGTAATAATACAGGTACACGTGCTATCAAATACCAAATGAAAATACAACCCTATTTAAAACTAATGGGACAAATGTCCATTTTGAACAAATTTGAGGTAAAATCCAAAACCAACCAAAAAGGGATATTTCTGCAAAATTTGGCTGCCCATTTGCTCTTTGCATGCCGCCGCCATAGACACGCAGAGCCTCGAACTGGCAACTTGTACCAACATGTCAGAATCGCGTCAACACAGCTGTTGGAAATATTGTCCCAAACAATGGCACGGTATAAGAACTAACGCAACACATGCAAATTTATTAAGCAACATCGACGCGAATCGCTGAACCAGCTACATGTATATTTATTGAGAGCTGCCAGATGGAGGCTCTGCGTGCCTATGCAAAGAGCGAATGGTACATGAAGTTGTAGGCAAAATGAGAGTGGTCTGTAACATCTAAGCCTATGAAGATATGCTTATGCATCATGGATGCGCAAAACGGCTAAAAGCTTGGCAAGCCAAAGACCTTGACCAAATGAGTGGGTCAAAATCACTGAAATCAGTCATACATGCACATGTGACATATACTGTACCAGTACATAGTACAATATATACAGCCTCAATCCTATGAAATCTTCCATTTACATGTACAGTACATGTATGTAAGGATTTAGGAGGATTTGGGAAGGTTAGGGTTAATAAATGGGTAATTCCAGAAATTAGGGGTCCATCTTTTTGGTGTTCCTGTCACATCTGACACATGATTTTGTAAGTTCAGAACACATATTCTAATTTTCAAGAGTGATGAATAAATGCAAATTACATGCCAAACAAATAGTAATAGTTTGAAATCAATTCCAGTGATGTTTCCATGTATATAATAACAAAGGTCAGATGTAATAGGGACATGAAAAGTCACTGTTTTGGACCCCTAATTTCTGGAATTACCCAAATACATTGTACATACTAGTAAGTACCGGTACATGTAAATCTAAACATGTACATGTATGGGCTGTTAGTGGTAGAGTGGTTCAGATGACCACACCAGTCAACAGTGAGTCAAGGATTAAATCCCGTATAAAACAGGTTTATCCCGAGTGCAGATTGTGCTTCATAATTTAAGCAATGGTGGAAGAACTCCCAAATGTTCAACCAGAGGCGAAATTAGCGGTGAAAATCAATTCCGAGTACACGTCAAGCTTTTGAAAACTTGTCTTGAAACTGTAGTCACACATTAGTTGTGCAATATACATGTACATGAACCGGTAGGCTAATTTTTGTTTGTTGTAACTAGTCCCTAAGAACTTCAAGGGCACTGAAGGTTGCAAATCAATAGTCTGGGCCATGAAGCTGCAATGAGATGCACACACAGTTCAACTCAGATGGACCTGCCGGCTTGTCATTTTCCTGAGCATCTGCGAGGCAAGTGAGCATGCAAAATCCTCATTGACAGTACGTGACTGGCTTGCCAAGCCGATGGCACATCCATCTTGATAAATTATTACGGAGGAGTTCGCCGTGGAGTGAGCAATATCAAATTTCCAATCTGGTGCCTTTCTTTCAGGGCCCAAGACAAATAGATTAGTAAAATATGAATGAAATTTTAAATGACTGGTAACAGCTAGCCAAAAACCCCACACATGTACACACACCAAGACCCAAAGGTGCGCCAACGTGTACATGGTTAAAGTATGGTTTTTCCATTGGAAACAAGTTGAAAAGAATTTATGCAAGTCCATACTCACTCTACTTTTATTTTCCCGTGGGACTTTCATGATTCTTTCAAGATCCTTTATGCAACAACCCATGGGCACAATTTTTGTATGATAACTAAAATGAGGACCCTAAATCCACGTAAAAATGCTTGGATTCAGCATTTATCATGCCTATTGAGCCATCAAAAATAAAACCTTGGTGTACGTGTGTGCTCATACCAATTTTCAAGTTAACGCATTGTACCATGTTGAGGAAAAGGCCAGGAGGATTATCGTCCAGATGGAAAAAGAAAAGGAGAAGGAAAAGAGAGATGGAATTGTATGATTTCAATAAGGTGATTGGGTTGAGCCAAATCATCTAAAAGTACATTTTAAAACTTACACTGATCAAAATTCAAATGAAATGTTCTATTAAAATAAGCTATGATATTTATTTTTTCCATTTGTTGTTTACATTTTATTGCAACTGATAATAGGCACTTGCAAGACTTATGTATCATGCGTAACATTAGCGTTTGCGATTTTTTTGTTTTCGATTTACACGGTCATAACAGTAATTCTCACAAACAATGATTGAACATTTTATTTTTTGTTGCTTTTTAATTTTAATGAAATTTAGGTGTTGTATGAATGGCCATGAGACAACGTTCAGGGCAACATCTACTCAGCTGCCTGTTCTTGATGAAGTGATTCAGTATTTTCAAGTCAAGCTTGACTATGAGATTCCACAAACAGCAGCAACAATATGCATGCGTACTTCAGATTGTGATGCTTTAAAGTAAAAGTCTTTTAAGCCAGTGGTCGAAGTGCTTACATGATCTAGACAAAAGCCTTGCTATTCACTGATGGCAAAATCACTTTTGTTTGGGCTATTCTCAACCTTGGAGAATTATTTTACGAGGGAAGTGAAGTGTACCGTAGGTACCACAGCCCAACAAATGACTCATGCAAATTGTTGCCGCTACTCACAGAGTCTCACAAAATCAGGGACCAACTGTGGATGCTGAGCTAGCTACACTTTGCCAAACATGAAACACTCTTGATGTCGCCATTCCGCATCCCAATTTATGTTATTCAACAATAATAACAGTAAAGATGGTAAACGCATAGCAGAAAGGGGATGCATGATTCTTTCCGATCATCATGTACATGTATGCTAATTCTACATTTACATAATTTATGGTGTTCTCCATTTTGTCAACTATTATCTAAATCATTAATAAATATTGGAAAGAATTCCAAACATTCACCTCACTTTTTTAATTCATGCCTTCCCTCACTTGACAACAGGTAAAATCCCTCCCAAATGCCTGGCTCCATTTAACTGGCTAAAGCATGTACTGGTATCATCATGAATTATGACACTCAAAATTTGTGTTGGTCAATTTTTGGAAAGAATTCCATATACATGTACATTGTGTACAAACACTGCTTGATACGCTGTGCACAAATCCTATGAGACCGGTCTGAGAAATTGTGTTTTCAAAGTGAATACTGTATGTCCATATTTTTACTGCTAAATTTGACTTTTTAGGACTTTTGATTTCTTTAAGATGATTAATACATGTAGGTCACTGCACGGCCAAATTAGTGACGTCCAGTCCGTAGGCTATGGAACTCTTTTTACATTTTTCTTTCTAAACGATTACATGTACACTGTAGGCACTACTTGTTTGCTTTATTTTAACTTTAACCGACCTCAATCCTCTAAAATCCTCCGGGTGGTATTGGAGGATTTTGGAGGATTGAGGATGAGTGATGAATTGAACACAGGATTTTGGAGGATGAATGCTGATTTAAAAGCTGGAGGATTTTCAAGGATTGAGGATGAATGGTGAGTGAAGTACTAAAAATTGGTCACAATGATACATATAGTCATGCTATATACTGTTTACAATACATGCACCCAAGGAGAGTGTGTTCCATTGTTCACTGCTACTGGTCACAAATTATACAATCCTCAACTGCAATGTGTTAAAACAAAGGCACATGTCTGCTTTGTTTATTACAACAACAACGACCCAAAAAAAAACCCAAGTAGGGCCATGGAGGATTGAGGATTCAGGTACATCATGTACATGTACCTTTCATTTTGTGCATAAGCCCAAAAACTGGAGGATTGAGGATGAATGCAGTTTTTGGAGCTGGGCAATTGGAGGATTTGGGAGGATTGGCGTGACTGAGGATGTGCCCTTGTAAAAAAGCCATCATTCGCCACTCACTGACTCAGTTTACAGACTACCTTCTCACCATAGTTCTGACCACGCCGCTGACACAATTTTGCCGCGTACTTTTGACTTTTATTTTAAAATCATTAATTATGACATCACCCCCCTATCATGCCTGGTATGGAAAATCCTCCATGATCATCATGATCATCATGATCAGGTAATGACGATCAGACGATATGCAATCTTGAACCACAGAGCAAGGAACTTTGTGTGTATTTATGGTGCTCCATCCTGACATGCCTGAGTTGATTTGCCTTTGAATAACATCCATTCATAGGATAATCAATTCAGGAGAAAGTACAATAAATGTGCGTTAAGTTCAAGTTGCGCATAACGATTACCAGGCCTCACTCATCATGTTGATCGTGGCACATCCACATGTCCATGAAAACATGTTTCTCACACACACACAAATGCATGGACATTACAATAACACACACAGTCACGTCACATACCCTCTTCTGAACACAATATTTTCATTTGACTACACTGATTCACTTACTGAGCGAAATGTGCAAAATATTAAGAAGATTTACCCACCTGTTGTCAAAGTAAAAGAAGATAAACCTGTCACGTCAATGTCGTGCATGCAACGAATGAACGAGTGCACATCACGTACGGCCACTGTGTGGTTGACATCACCAATGAGGGCGTGCTTCAAGTGTATAATATATGACGGCTGTTTTATGTACTGACCTTTGCTATTTCAAACAAAGATTTAGAACATAAAACTGTCATACAGTATATGACTGGTACCTTGCAACTACTTATGTTATGTTCATTTTATCGAGGTGAACGAATAGTACCAGCTAACTTCTATTTACGACGCATAGCAACAACAAGCGAAAATGGCAGATACCGGTGACAGGTAGGCCATGGGTAGACTACTTAAAATTTAGCATTTTATCTGTTAATCGGGTTCATTAACGCTAATTGAACTGAAATTTTTAGTAATTTCTAATTTCAGTTTTTATATGCCCAAGGTGTTTATTTCAACAAAAGGTAATTTGCAGAATTTTTTCACAGAATTAAAACAGATGTGGCATTGGCCATGCATAGGCCATGAATATGAATTATGATTATGCTCGGCTGTGATGAGTGTGTGACTTACAATGCATGACCAGCAGACCAGGTGACTCGACTTAGTCTGAGGCATAAATGATCAAGCTAACTTCAAGGCCTGTAGCAGTGTGGAAATAGTGAACTGTTGCAGATATTGCACTGGGTAAATTGTGTGGATAGTGGGGTGGTTTGCTTTTTGGTGCGAAAATTAGTAAAACTAAGTTAGAAAATTAATGCCAGGCGTGGAAAGAGTTCCGTATGGCATGTGTGGGGCAGCGCGGACATCCTGGACTCTCTCAAAATGCCAGGTACTGCGCCGATGAAAAAAGCGACCTCAGCGACGTATGCGTGTACCAGCCAGTCCAAGGATCAGGTTACACAATCTTTTCTCTGATCAGTACTTACGCACCCGCTCGTTGCAGTTGTTTTCACCGGCGCAGTGTTGTTGCTGCCTGGTATCATGTGAAACTCCTGGATACATGTCCGTGCTGCCCCATAGGCCTAGTACGGAGAGGCCTCGGCCTACTAAAAAAAAAGTGCTAGGGGCTTAGGCCTAACATTAGCTAGGCTAGGGAAGCTCATACATTTTTTTAACTGTTTTTTCTGTTTTCTTTTTGAAGTGATCTTTGTCCTTATAGAGGATGTCATAAGAAACATTTTGAGAATAAGTTTGAATTCCATCGGACTCTGCAAAGCAAAGGAATATTGATTTGAAGTAGGGATATTTTGAGATGTTTTGGGATGCTTTTTGTACTTTTGTAATGCAGAGCAAACTGTGATTTGTCAGTACACAAAAATGAGTATGGATTTTGACTGAGTAGCTTAATTTAAATTCATATTTTCATAAAATCTTTGTTCTTATTTGTGCTTTATTTCAATGAATTAAATGCTGGCTTCTCTTGAAATTTGAAATATTTTGAAATTGTAAATTAAACAGAGGAGCTAGAGTGTGCAGAAAAAGACTCATTTTAATCACAATTTCCTATTTAAGAAAATGAGTTCCCAAATGAACAGTGCCGTCACTCATTTATGCATGTCCCAACCTACAGCCAAGGCCTATGGACAACACTAATTTTCCCTAAAAATGTTATGACTGCTGTCAGAAAGTGATAACGTGTCCCAAAAAGTGAAATTTAGCTGCGAAAATTCTGAAGCATTTACTTAGAAAACACTTCATACAAGTCTGATAGGTTTGTGCAAAAGGCATCAAGTGTTGCCCACATATGGAACTGTTTCCCAAGACTTTTCTTTACAGAATGCCCCATTTCCCTCCTTTATGTTAATTTTTTTTAGGATATAAGGCCCTATTTCTTGTTTTTTGTTTAGTGTTCAAGATCAGCTGGCAAATGACCAGCCTGAAACAGCACAGGATGGCGACTCAACAGAAGAAATGCCCCAGTCTCAAGGTAGGGCGTGAAGGAAGGGCCAGGAAGGGGATACCTAAGTAGGCTAAGAATGGAAGGTCAAATGTAAAGTTTAGGCCAAAATTGAAGCTGACAAAGTTGATTAAGTTCTGGACTCTGTGGGGTTTTGTACAGTGGAGCCTAAAGGCTTGCAGATAATTGATACGATTTTGCTCTTTATGTACTGAATGTGACATTTTCATTTCAATGTAATTACTTTAAAGATAACGAGGAGGTCATTGATGGTGAGGACAAGACAGGAATAACAGATGTTGTCGAGGATGTCAATGTCCAGGCACTGAAGGAGGTAAAAGGGAAAATTTTGATGAATAAGCTGTAATAAGAAGTAGGTAAAATGGTTACCACAGCCCCTCTTGCTGTAAATTAATATTTTGAGAGATCATTGATGCAGTGGGAACAGTTATTATTTAGGAGCTGATTGCTGGTTAAATACACACCAATGCTCTTAGCATTGGTTGCTTAATGTAAGAAAGGTGTCACTGGACCAAATTTCACTGGATGTTCAGTGGTGTGGACATTTGCTGAGCACTTTATTCTCCTCACCAACTTCTTGATATTGTGTCCTTTGAATGATTTTCAGGGATCATGGGCTTCGGTCCAGGCTGATTTTTTTTTTTAATATTCCATCTTTTTGTCCATTATCAAGGAAAAGGATACTTCTGGAGTGCCCGGTGAAGGTGAAAATCGACCGGGGTCTACACAACGACCGGGGTCTGGAGAGCGTCCAGCATCTGCTCAGCGGCCAGGGAGTGGGCAGCGTCCACCCTCGGGTCAGAGACCTCAATCTGCACCTAGATCGCCTAAAGACCAGCCACAGGTGGATGAAGAACCTGAACGGGCACCCTCCACTGACCGCCCAGCATCCACAACCAGGCCAGCTTCGGCACAGCGGCCTGGTTCAGCAGGGTCAAGGAAAGGATCACCAGCAGCTGGCGGGGCTGGAACACCTGACCGTCCTCCGTCTGGCAGCCGGCCAGGATCAGGTCAGAGGCCTGGCTCAGGTCAGCGACCTAGTTCAGCCCAGCGACCTGGCTCAGCCCAGAGACCCCCATCTGGTGGACAACCAGCAGAAGACCCAATACCAGCCTCAGGCATGACAAGTAGACCAGGTTCTGCTACTCGGCCAAGGTCGCCAACCAGACCTGGCTCTTCTACCAGGAGATCCCCTCAAGTCGAGCAGGATCGACGTGGTGATGGCCCAATCCAGGATGAGGAAGACACAGCAGGATTCAGCAGACGTGTAACAGGTAATGAACACCCAGAGGCCAGGTAGAGGTCAGGGTGGGTCAACAGAGGTCAAAGCGCCAATGTCATTGTTTGCGAATTTATGCAAACTGTGGAAGAAATTTCCCCGGCAGATTACAGGTTACCAGCTACAATTTAATGAGATGTCTTTTGTTTTTGACTGGTATTCTATATTGCTTTCGCTGAGTCCAAACCATTCCCTGTGGCTTGCAAACATAAGAGCTATCTTTTGGCTTCATTTGAAATACTTTGCTACGGTCTGTGTGCCAATAGAAGCAGCTGAATCCACTTGTCATTGGTGCTCATGTCAGCCATAGCCGGCAGACCAGGCCAGGGTCTGCTGTTCAGCTGCAGTCTACAACCGGTTGTGACTTTCCAACTAACCTGATCTGCCTTTCTCCAGGTACGGAAGGTAGCCAGGGTGGCGGTGGGGGAGACCGTCAGAGGTACACTGAGTTGGTCCCTGTAGACAGCAACCAGGAAGACGGTGAAGAGGAGGAGGAAGAGGAAGGAGAAGATGATGTGGGCGAAGACTCAGACGTGTCCGATGACGAGAGCGAAATGGTGGTGCTGGATCCCGATCATGTAAGTCAAAATTTCCCCCAAATCCATGCAAAAGCAAGTTTACAGGCCTTTGTGAGGTCTGAGATCATGTTTTTTATCAAAATATTCAGGGAATTAAGTATTTGATATCTGCTGCAGTTCTATTATGTGAACATTATGCATCTGTGTTGTCATAATCCTTTATAAAGGGATGGAAGAAAAATTTGCATTGCCGTAACCCTCCAACCTTGCTCCCATTGACTCCAACAGCCCCTGATGAAGCGCTTCCAAGTGGCTCTGAAAGACCACCTGACCAAGCAGCAGACCAAGGTCACCCTTGAGCTGCGGGAGCTGACTGAGGCGCTCAGGAACAGGCGACGGGAGCGGGAGGAACTGGGCGTCAACCTGTACGGCCTACAGCAGGAGCTGGCCCGCCTGCAGATGATGCTGGAGCACCAGCACGATGAGCTGAGCGGTGCAGCGCAGCGGCGCCAGCAGTGCGAGGAGCAGCTGCAGGACGTGCGGGGCATGTACAAGAGCACGCAGGAGAATGTGACACAACAGCGTAAAGATGGTGAGGCAATGCAAAGTGTGTCAGTGATTCATAGGCTCAAAGACAACAGTCCCAATAAGGCTATGTATTGATGATGATCAGCTTTATTGACATGTATACTTTTCCATGGAGCTCCCAATCCATCATCCCCACCTAGTTCCCATGAAGACAAGACATATCCAAATGAAGTATGACGTCATCAGTGTTCACACCTGTGACTAGCTGTTCTCACTGGCATGCTTTTTTGATTAGCTTAAGCTGAAACAGTTGCAATAGACGTGGCCTTATTGTCATGGCTTGGTGATACTTCCACTCTTCAAGAGCTTGTAGATATTTACAGACCTTGTACAGTCACTTGCTTTAAGATCTACTTTAGGATGAGTCCTAACCTTTTCCTCATTCAAAGTCTTCATGCAAGAGTCGTTTGTCAAGAATAGACTCACTTTTGTTTTTATCATTCTTTTTTACCAACCCACCTTCTTTCCCCCCAGAAGTAAATAAGGTTTGTCAGACCATCAGTAGATCCCTCATGCAGAAATTGTACGAATTTTAAGCAATAGCAGTGCCTACTTGCAAAGTTAGACTGTTAATCCAGTGCACCTCCAAAGCATTATTGAAATTGAAGTACCTTTGGTCGCATCCACAGCTTCCAGCCTACAGACAGAGGTGGAAAACTTGGCCCTACATCTTTTCTACATGACTAATGCCAAAGAGGACATCCGGGGGGACATCGCTGTCATGAGACGGGCAGCAGAGAAGGCTGACAGTGAAGTCAACCAGGCAGAGATCACCAAACAAAAACAGGTCGGAATTTCCTCTATTCCCTGAATAAGGCAGCAATCTTTTTCTCTTGTTTTTTTTGGGGGGGGAAGGATTGAATGAAATAACTGTGACAGGATCCCACGAAATGAGTTTTCAGCACATGCTTCAGGTATTTGTTTCTCATGCTGTAAGTGGCCGTTCTCAATGCTTCATTTCGATATATCACTTAGTATGGCAACCCGATAAATTCAGGCATTAAATTGATACAAAAGGTGAGAGTTGTCATGAATTTCCATTTTGCAAGAATTGTTCAAAGTCCTTTAACTCAAGGGTTGACTCATTAAGAGTTAATTGTGAAAAATGTACACACTGTTTTGCTGAAACATTGTTTGACACATAAGGAATAGTAAAAGTTGCTATTCACATGATTGTTTCTAAGTTCCGTCAGTCCATTTTAGTTTACTTCCAAACTTCTTCCATGGTTGGCAAACAGGGAATAGGCTCTTAATGAAACTAGAAACAACGCTGGGGGCAGAATTTAAAAACACTACCCAGAAAGGTACACTTAGATTTCGACAGAATGCTAACAAATGTCCTTTCTATCTTTTAGGATCTGTATGTGGACAGACTGACAGAGAACGTCGACAAGCTCCGTGAACAGATTGCTCTGTATGAAGCCCAGTGTTTTGCCCAGAGTGAAGAGACAAAGGCGGCCAAGGAAGCACTGGCTGAGGCCCGCTTGGAGATCGAGGTCAGTCCCCAACTCCCCATTTATCATCCCAAAACTCCAGATTTTCAGCATTCAATTTGGCACCGTCCCTTTGGAATGAGCTGGGTTTTTTTATATCCAGTTTTTTTTCAGTGACTTCCGTTTAGGTATGAGTTTGTTTGTCCATTTTTTGGGGTTGAATAGTCGATAAATTTGGAGAGGAAACAGCTATACCAGCAATGGAACAGCAGCATTATCGGCATGAGACGACGTGACGAGGCCCACGCTGCAATGCAGGAAGCTCTCAGGTTAGTCATTTGCATGAGTCCAAATAAATGGAACATTTGTCCTGGATTTATTAACCAATCCTCAGGTTCTGAAAAATATTGAAATTCAAGGACTGAGGGGCAGCTAAGCTTGAGTGAATTGTTACGTGGCAATATTATGAAGTTGACCCTTCAAAGAATTGAATCTGGTTTCTCATGCTTGCACTGAACCTAATTTATCCACCAAGCAACTAACTGAATTTCACATTAAATGCAGCTTTTGTGAGCATTCATCAGCATTTCGCAGAGCATTTTCCTCATTTTCTCACAGCCAACAGAGGCAACGGATCCTGTCGCTGCAGACGGAGATCGATGGTTACCGCAAGTCCATCGCCAAGGAGCAAGAGAACAACGAGACGCTGACCATCCTGGTCAACAAGAACGAGGCGGACATGAACACGGTGCGCAAGCTGATCGCCACTTGCACGGCCCGGCAGGAGCAGATCAAGCAGGACTACAGCACCTACACGCGTATGCTGCATGAAACAGAGCAGGCCCTCAACAGGGCAACCACGGTAAGCTACGGCCTTCCAGGGTTCAAAATACTCACCCACTGAACCAGGTGGACTGAAGCCAGTGATTTCATGACTGGGCTTGCAGCATCAATAACAGTCGAAGCTAGGTGGTCCGCTGGTTTCTTTTCCCTCATGTTTTTCTGCAAATTTTTCTGAAATGTTTGTATAGAACAAAAATGTGTTGACATAAAGTAATAGTTCATAATTACTTTTGTTTCTGGTTTGGTCTTGTAACTTGTGTTCTAGTCCATGTCATTCTATGAGGTAGTTGCCTTGTGGCCTGGTATGGCTTTTTTGCCCACAGAATATGACCTTTGTCCCTCGTTAGTGGATTTGCAGTCTCCATTTCCTCAGCGTGTAAATTTCTAGGAACTACAAAAATGTTACTGTGTTGTTTGTACTCTCTGTTGTATTTTTATTTTGACTCAACATTTATTTCCACATTGCAATGTATATATCAAATTATATACTGTGTCAATAAAATTAAATCAATAAAGCTGTCGCTGCGTTTTCTAACGCCGTAGTGGTTAGGTGCAGGCATGTTGTCTTGGATAAATGTTCTGTTGCTCAGCAAATGAAGATAGTCAAAACTAACCATGATGTACATGTAAAGTTCTCACTGCTTTTTAGCAGCCTTTGGTTTCCCATGTCAAAATTCATTGGCAACTGTTTATGCCCAGGAGGTCCATGAAGTCAGACCATGTACTTGAGGCAAAGTCCAAGAATTCTGTCTTTGTAGTCAAGGTTTCACCCTTTGCGGCTATTCACACATAGCCACACAGTCATACAGGCATGTGTGATTCTTGCCTCTTCAGTTCAAACAATAAATATTTGTACTTTCCCTGTATTCAAAGCCTTCGTCTTTTGCTTAAATTGTTTTCCTTCAAGATTAAATTTGATTTCAATTTTGTTTGGGTTACCTCCAAGGACCGAACGCTGAAGATGAACGAGGTCAATGCCCTGCGCAAGCAGATCGAGCGCGAATTCCTGGAAAAGATGCGACTGGAGGAGGCCATCATGGAAACCATGCGGCAGAAGATGACGATGGACAAAGTGTCTCAATATGCCAACAAGATGGCCAACAAAACCCGCAAGCTCATCGCGGAACAGGTGGGTGTTATTTTTTTCCCCTCTGATTTTATTTGGCATCGGGATAAAGACATTTCAGAATGAATTTTGAAACAAAGAGTAATTATGGAGCAAACTAGCATGAACTCAAGGGTTTTTATGTCAGTAGACTTTGATATTAAATGATTTAGTAAGTTATCATAAACTGACACAGTGTTAGTAGTGTGATTTACATATTACAAAATCCACTGCCATTTGTGCGATGGAAAGCTTTGTGTCTTAACCCCAAAGTTATCACCACCGAATTGCTGATTCACGTAGGTTTTCACATTTTTTGAAGAAAATCCTACTTTAATTGACTGTTGAGTCCCAACTTGACATAAAGAAGTCGGTCTCATTACCAGTACTGACCTCACCTGTAATTTGTCCTCTTTTATGTTCAGGAAGCAGCCAGGGCCAAGGTGGAGAACGAAATCTCTCGGGACACCCTGGACCTGTCTCACACCCTGACTCGCGTGGAGCACCTGCACAAGAGCATGCAGGAGCTGGACAGGGAGATCCACGAGAAAAATGAGATCATCTCCCGCAGCGAGAACGAGATCGTCAAGCGCAACGCTGTCATTGAGCGTAAGCAGGGACTGATCGACCAGTACAACAAAAAAATTGAGGCCATCATCAGCTCCCAAGGGGTGAGTTGGGGGGGGAGGGGGAAGGGGAAGAATTGGTCAGATTGAAGTTAGGTGCTGTTGGCTTAGGGCAAGTACTCATGGATGTAACTTTAAGGCAGGACAAGGCAGTGTACTGCTCTGATTAGCAAATTGGCATTGGCAGCAGTGTTGGCTAATGGGAAACTTCTTTCAAGAAACGGTCGCACTTCCCAGTCTACAGATTTGTTTGACGATGTTGTCTGAAATTTCACTGATTGCTAGGGTGAGGAGCTGGGCCCCCTGGAGCAGGAGGTCAACGGCCTGCAAAAGAACATCGATGCCAGGGTGCAGGAAATTGCTGACTTGCAGCAGTACTGGCTGCGGCAGCAGAGTGAGCTGGTCAAGCTGACCCAGGAAAAAGACAGCCAGCAGACGGAGGTCAACACCATGAAGAAAGCCCTGACCATCCTCTTCCAGAAAAAGCTGCGCATCGAGAGTGAGTGTCTGTTACATCTGGAATACTTGAATTCTCTAAATGCCCTTCCTCAAACACATTCTGCAGCTGTCAAAATGAGTCAGCATGCAAACACAGTTTCTTGAGTTTAGTTTAGTGCAAAGTGAGCTTTCCTGTGGTTTATTCTTTAATGCGTTAGTCACTTTTTACAATCCATTTCAAAGTATTTAAAGAAACAATTTTATAATTGAACCAGATTCCCTAAGTGCTGTTCCAACCTTTTTTTATGAAGATATTTAAAACGTTTATGTATGAACATCAATCAAAATCTAGAAACAATTTTTCAATCACCAAAATGCTGGCAAAGATAAAAAATGTTTGGCACTGTACATTTTTTTTCCCAACTAACAATGTATCTCAAAGGGTATCCACATTGATACAGTAGGTGAGAAACTTGACCTCTGAAGTTATTGTGTGATTTATGTTTGTTTGCCTGAATTTTGTTGTCCATCCATTTCTAAGTTGAATGTATTCTTGTCCCAATTCTTAAAAACTCCTAAATCAGATGACATCAGCACCCAGCAAAACGAGCACCGAGACGTGGAGCACAGCATCCGCAGCATGCAGAATGACATGCTGAAGCTGAACCTGCTGCTGACCAAGGAGGGCAAGACGCGAGAGCAGCTGAAGCAGGACAACGTCCTGATGGAGAATGACTTCATCCTGTCGCTCAAGGAGGCGGAGCGGGAGAGCATCGAGATGCAGAACCAGCTGGAAGGGCTCGGGGAGGAGAAGGAGCGGCTGCTCAACAGCCTGGTGGAGGCGGAGTAAGTGGGGAAGATGTCTTGTGATAAGGTTTCAGAGAAAAGCCAGGCTGGAGTTTCAAGACTGAACAAAAGAGAATCTAACGGTCGACAAACTTGCAGCTGAAATGAGAGGTGCAGCCAACAAAGCACATGTTGCATGAGCTCATAGATTTATGTTGGCAAATGATGCAGAGTGCATGTGATTAGTTTTCAACTGAATGTGCACAAACCCTCCATCATCCTGGCCACTATGTGACACTATGCAGTATTTCCACAGCTCATGCAGAAAATGCAATAGCGGCCCTATCAGCATGGCTGTGCACTGATCGAAACTGAACATGAGCCGGTGCGATGTCAGGTGCTCTCACTCTGAATGACCATTGCCTCATTGACACACTCAACCAGCTTATTGGTGTGGGTAAATACATCTACCAAAAAAAGTCAGATGGTGTTTAAAGGCGTTTACTAAACCACCTTGGATGTTTAGAAGTATAAACAGAATCACAAACATCTTTCAAGTCAGTGGTGTCTACAGTAGTCGGTCTTCATAAATTTAGCTTCACATATCCGTGTCAGTGACCCCATTTTTGTGTATCCCCATCAGGCGTCAGATCATGCTGTGGGAGAAGAAAACCCAGCTGGCTCGCGAGGCCAAGGCCACCGTAGATTCGGAGGTCGGCCAGGGTGAGATTCGAGCCATGACCGCCGAGATCCACCGCATGGAGGTGCGACACACCCAGCTCATGAAACTACAGGTCAGTTCAGGCTTAGAGGCAACTATTATACTTACTACTGCGATGTTTCACGACCAGAAGCTGCATATTTAAAATCAAGTTTATTTTCAGATTCAGATACAATTGATTGTAGCTAATTTTTTTGTTAATAATCACAACGTGCTCTGCAACTTCTCATGTCTGCAGCTTCCTACAGCATTTGCTGTGAACTGTTGAACGTTGATTTAATCTGATGACTATCCGCTCCAAGTGCAACAAAATTGGGCATGTTTTTTGGTATTCCCCGCATAGGCGGGCGTTTATAATGGAGATCAATGGCGCATCTGACGCGGAGCACGCATAACAAATGAAATCTTTTATTCCTTAATGTATGGTCTTTGTGTACACGTAGAACGTGTGCAAGAACCCACTTGGAAAACTTACTACCACCTGTCTTTCTTTTGCCACTTGGGGGTGCACTTCATGCTCAGGCCAGATAGTTCTAGAAGTCCACATAGTGTTCTCTAATTTCACTGTGTATGAAAACAGTTGAACGTATTTCAAAAGGATTCTCCTTCGCATTTCATCCTGCACAAATACCCATCTTTTTTCTCGAGAAAATGCCCATTTGTTAAGACCGGTTCCATTACTTCCTAAATATCTCTGGGTCTTCCAGGAGAAGCTCATTCAGGACATGGAGAAGGCGGTATCTCGCCGGGACACCATCGTGACTCGTGGTGATGCCCAGTCCAAGCTCAACAAGAAGGTGGAGACTAAGGGAACATTCCAGAAGAAACTGACGGAGATGAGGAAGAAGATCAAACAGACGCAGCAGGTACAAAGCTCCCCCTCCCCGGGGCTTGAAATACTCATCAGATCACTGGATCTAAAATCACTGAAACAAGTCACTTGATCTTGTGGAGTCTTTGGCTAAACCACTGACCTGTCTGAGAGATTTTTTTTTCAGCTGAATCTCGAAGTAACTGTTAGAGTCTGGCTTTCTGCCTCATTTCCTGGAAGAAAACATGAAGGTGGCCTTCAAGTTTATCTTCCATCAGCCGAGATAAACCTGACCTAGATATTTTCAGTGCACTTGTCCTATTTATTCTCGTCTTGCACATTTCTTGAGGTAAAAACCTGTTCTAGTGGACCGTTTTCATGAAATTCAACCCCATCTACACACTTATGAAGCCTTGAATGCTTTTCCTTCCCCATTAAGTCCATAGCGCGGGGATGTAAACTTGTCTAATATTAGAGTGTGTTTATTGTTTGCGTTTTTCAAAGTGGCAAGAAGTGTATTTTTGGGAGAAGTGTAATTCTGTCAACACCCCCCACCCCCTACCCTACATTTCCCCCCAGGATGCTGGTAACTGTGACCAGGATATCCAGGAACTGCGTAGCCACCAGCAGATGCTGAGCCAACAGCTGGAAGAGAAACAGACTGGCTTCCAGCAGCTCCAGAGCACGGCCGACACGCTGGATGGAGACCTGGACCGACTGGTGGAGATCAAGCAGAAGGTCAGTGCTGAGGCCGTGTCGGGGTCATTTCTCGTGTTGGTAGCGCATTGGTATGTGAAGTGCCAATTGAGAGATTGTCAGGTCATCATTTCCTGTTAGGAAAACTGTAGGAAATTTGTTGCAGGTAATAAGCCATTTGCGAGTTAAATTTGAATAAAATCTGGTACACCGAGTTCTTTAAATTCTTGGAACATAACAACTAGAATTCTCCATACTAAAACCACTGTTGCTATACCTCGTGATTCGGGGCAAGCTTTTGCTTAGTTACATAAGAGATGCCTTGCAACAATACACTTCTCTCAATGGATAAGAACGGCACAAAGGAACCAGTCCATTCCAGAGATGGTGGTCACTATGCGAAAGCTTGCCCCAAATTACGAGGTATAGCAACACCGTCTTTAGTCTGGGGAATTCAAATTGTTACGTTTCAAACACAGTGTACCAAATTTTATTCAAATTTGACTCGCAAGTGGCTTATTCTGACGGTCTGAGAAAAAGAAGATGAACTGGTCAAAATTCAGCAGATCCTTACTTGTAAATGACCGCACTGGTTGTGGAATGTACGAGGGTACTCAGGTACACAGAGCTTCTGTAGCTGTGCACGAGCCTATGCAACCAAAAAACGCTGTCAGGTTCAATAAAAACTGTATGCATGCATGCAAATGAACTTGTGTATGGCTGCATCCAAATCTGTTGTCAAGAGTTAGGTCTAGGTCTTCATTCCATTGAAAGTACATGGAGACACGCGGACAATAGACCTAGCCTTAGCTCTGGAAGCCCGTTTCAAACACGGCCTACGATACAATGGCCTGGATCGGATTGTGTCAGCAGGGCTCCCCTGACATGTTTGCTTTTGTGAAGTTACGCCACCTTCAGCAAAGGTTACAAGAAAAGAGATTACGAGGAAAAAACGACGAAACAGAAACAACTAATTTGCTGTCATAACAGATAATATTTCTAAAAGCCACGGTAATTTCAAAGCCTGGCTTCCCAGCTCTGAACAATTTCGAGTTCTTATACTAAGCCAGATTGTCACCTGGGTTTAAATGCCTAAATATTTTTTCCCCCGAGTTTTTTTCTCATATGCTTTCTTTTTACATTCCCCCTGCAGCACATGACAGATTTGCTGGCCAAGCAGCAGCGCGTCAAGTACTACCAGGCCCTGAAGGACGGCAAGTACACCCTGCTGTGCAAGACAGAAGCCGCCCTGGAGTCGGAGATGCAGAAGCAGACCGACCGCACCCACACCATCGCCACCATCGTGGATCGCATCAACCAGGAGTACCCGCACGTCCAGCCGGCCATGCGCAAGGTCATGGTGATGCTGAGCTCCAGGGGGGTGGGGGAGGAGGAGCAGTAGGCGGAATGACAACCATGGTCACAGGGTGGGGAGGAGGAGAAGTTGAAGGAACAGCACCGAGTTTGAAGAGAAGGGTCAAGAACAATTGTTTCTATATAACTTGTGAAGGAGTGAGTGGTGAGCAATAGATGGAACAGCCTGTTGAGGAGGAAGTACAGAGGGTGTGATTGCAACCCTTGGAATTGCTGTAAATCTGAATATTTGGAAAGCACTGTTTATGTGGGGTAGTACATGGCATGTTTTCATTTCACAACACACTCTGCTTATTAAGAGATTTAACTTATGTCGTGAATAGAGACTTTAAAAACTCTGTCCTCAAAGTTTAGTAGGTATACATCTAGGAAAATTGTTTGAATGACACTTAATGGAAACAATGTAATACAGACTGATGTTAAATTGTACCAATATTGGGTGATTTATTTGCATAAAGTCTCTTCTATTAACCCCTTCTCATCGGGAAGCAGTAAGAGACGTCGTAAAAATTGAGATCCCTCAGCCCGCTTTTCAGCTATTATTCTTGGCACACCCTGGCTCTTGTATATATGGTGATTGGCCTTTGTGTGTTGCCAAGAAATAAAAAGGCCGAATTTGCATCATCACCAGCTTCACAATAGTCCCACTTTGAAAAGAGGCAACGGGAATGTGGAAGCGTGAGTAGAGCCGCATGCCACCGAACAATCAGCCTTTTCACTGTGTAAATCAAAGCGTGCAGAGCACGCAGGGCCACTAACCGAGAATTTGCGGTTTGGCAGGTGGCCTTCGTGGCCAAGCGAGGCTGGAATTCTCGGAGTCAGCTTTCAGAAAAAAGTCCCAGCGTTAAGGGGTTAACATGTTGTGGACAGCAAATTAGCATATGTTGTAACAAAAATTAACCTTCATTAAGGAAAGAAAAGTGTGAATAAAGATGTTTCAGTTCAAGACACAATTTTGAATAATGTCATGGTGAACTTATTTTTATGTTGGCCAACCCTTGTTCAGATAAATATTCCTTATCATGTAAACCTTTATCTTTGCTGTTCTTGTTTTCACCTCAAAACACCCAACTGCATTCTCTGCTGAAATAGTGAAGCCATTGTAGCTGGCTTACCCAGAACCGTGGTCCAGATCATTTACACTAGCGTGGAGGGAATGCATTTAGGTATTGGCATGGACATTTGAAAAAGACCTCCAGGAATTGGGTGCCGACTGCCCTCATACCCATTTCACTATGTAGTAATTCTTCTTCCCTAAAAAAAAAAAGGAAAAAAATTGCTTAGTGTTTGCATGATTGCTTTGCAAAGCATGAATTTGAGCATGATTCCATTCAACAAAATTTGATATCACAACTGTAATTTACCAACACTTCAAAGCAGTTTGTGTTAAACTTTGGTGAACTCTCATACAACTGGGTATACACACTAAGGAAAAACTTCACAGTGCAAAAACGGCCAATCAAAAATAAGCTTTGAGGCCATTACCCAGCATTCATTGGCCCAAAGGTCTCCTATCTTTACTAAATTATGCCACCAAATTGCACATTCCCAATGCAAGACGATAAGCTCTAATTCAGCATACACAGAGAATAATGTGATGACGGTACCCTTTAAATTAGCTTACCTACTCTGATGAGCGTTAGACCATTGTTGAGTACATGGTCACCTTTGGTCAGTACCAGTGAGGCATCTGTGATGCGTTGATTGTTGATATACACTCCACCACTTTGTAGAATTAACTTGCCTCGTTCTACAGAATGAAAGTGAAGCAGGTGAACGGGACTGAGGTTGTGATTACATGGGGGTTATATTTTCATATTTAGGCCATGTTCGAAACGGGCTTCAAGAGTTATGGCTATGTCTATTGTCCACGCGTCTCCACACATTTTCAATGGAGTGAAGACCTAGCCCTAGCTCTAGACAACAGATTCGGATGCAGCCTTAGTTTCTTATTTTTTGATGCAACAAGTATGATTCAGTTACAGCTAACAAGTCCATATTGTGTTCCTCGTCAAAATCACGATGATGATGTGTTATTTTTTTAAATCCAGACTAGACTTACCTCCTTGGGGCAGACACTTGACTTTGTCCAGCATCATCTCTATACTGAAGCCTGGTTCCAAGAGGAGGCTGGTGACTGCCGCTCCTTGGAAGAGTTCCATGACCTCTGCATCATTCAGCTGCTCTAGGCTTGCTGGGCTGGTGTGATACAAGGCTTCTGTCTGTCTCAGTGCTCTGTTCAGACCAGCCTCTGGAAAAGTTTCAAATGAACCAAATGACGGGACAAATGATGCTCCATGTTCAGGCCCATTTGTGATTCCAACCAATAGCCAAACTTACACATCCTATGAACATTTAAGCTCTTTGATTACACCATCCAGGATGTGTTCTCTATTTTGTCCAATTATTTAGGGGCTCCTTATTCCACATGTTTCAAGCTTTAATAGAAAAACGTCACAACACACTATCGATCGATTATTCATCCGCTTGGATGTCTAATTGCATGAGGCATCATTCGCAAATATCCACATTAAAAAAAACACTGAATACATCAATGTCGACAAACTGAAAAATTGTACAACCACAATAATGCCTTGTGAGAACAGAAAGGGACAGGTCAACAGACATCAAGAAATATCCACAGGTCAATTTCACAGCGCTGCTTAAGCAGAAAATTTGTATAAGCATGAAAAAAACCTTGCTTGACAAATCAGGTTACCCGCCAAAACCTCTTGTGATGTATATTGTTTTGGAATGGTACTTACCTGTCTTTTGGTAAATTTGAGCTGGTAACCTTTTTTATTAAGCATTTTTTCATGCTTAAGCAAATTCTGTGCTTAAGCAGCTCTATGAAATTAGCCCCAGCTGGTATTAAACTTTGAGCAAAAATATGGTTCCATGATCTTTGTTAATAATCCTTACCTCCATGCACAAGTAACAGCACTTGCTCTGCTAGTTTCTTTTGGGCCTTGCGGTTCTTGGGTGCTTTCTGTGGCAAAAAAGAACCATGTCAGGTTACAAAACATGTGTTAACTTTGCCTGATTAAAATAAAGAGGAAATGAAGCACAAGGAAGACATGGGAAATACCTAGAGCAATTTCATACACACAAAAGCAAAACAATATTATGTGAATTTTATTTTGAGAAAAACAGAACCGACAAAAGTATACAAGGAGAAAGAGGGAATGCTTATCATGCAGATAGACACGTGAACAGTGGGCAGTGCTGCTGCCTGAAAACCTTAGGGCCCACATTTTGGCATTTCAAAACTCTAGGAAGGTTGGAAAAATGTTATGGACAAGAAAATGATACATGATGATACATGAACCAGAGGCAACATTCTCCGAGAGGGCCAAATGAGAGTTAGAGGTCACAGTTTTCCTTGATCCTTTCACGTAAACTTTCAACGCAGACAATGTCATCCTACCTTGTGAAGTCTGATGATATCAGCAATCTCATTCAGTGGTAAGAAGGTGAAGAGCTTGAGGTATCGCTCAATGTCAGCATCGGGTAGACGCAAGAAATACTACGAGGGAAAAAAAAATGAGTATGTCCTTGAAAATACAAAGTAAGAAAGCTCAATTAACACAGCAGTGAAATGAGTTCGAAAGACAGTCCCTCTATCATTTGAAAGCAAAACAGGAAGTAAGGAAGAGCTATTCCATGTGCCATTATTACCTGGTAGAGGTCAAAGGGCGAAGTCTTGTCCTCATTTATCCAGACAGCATTTCCGGCAGTCTTGCCCAGTTTGTCTCCTGATGAACTTGTCACTAATGGGATAGCAATGCCTTTTCAAATAAACATTTTACAAAAATGTAAATGCCTTGAAAACTCCAATACTGTAAGACGTTCACAATGGTATGTTAGCATTAGAATATTCAAGAAACTTGCAAAACTAAGACCACTTTCAACGTTTTACGTGGGAACACCAGTATTTGCCCACATATGTGCATGTTAACTTGGGAACACCCAAGCCTAGCTTAAGTTCTGCCTCAACAAAACAGTTGTTCCAACACAGACTAGAGTATGACTATCCAAGTGCTGCTTACCATAGACATTCTTGCCTGTGACCCTTTGGACCAGGTCATGACCAGTCATCAGGTTACCGAGTTGGTCTGTCCCTCCAAGCTGGAAAAAACCCAAAATCTCACACTGAAACTTCTCTGTAATACTGTATGGCAGCTTCCCAGTGTAAGCTCGAAAACAATACAAACTTGATGAAAAATGTCATTTAAGCAGAAGACAGTAGCCGGCAGAAATACATTTATAAAAATTTAACTCAGTACATGTATCGCTATTAATTTTAACATTTAAATATTTTGAGTATTCCGAAAAGCCTGGCAGGGGCCAATTTAACAGAACTGCACAAAATTTGCTTAAGCCTGAGAAAACCTTACTTGATAAATCAGGTAACCAGCCAAAACTCCATGTGATGTATATTGTTTTGGGATAGTATTTAGCAGTTTTTTGGTTTGCATAACAATTAGATATAGTTTGAATTGACAATCTTTGTTTATTAAGCAAAGTTTTTTTCCTGGCCAAGCAAATTTTGTGCTTAAACAGCTCTATGAAATTGGCCCACTGAGTGACTATGCTTGAGACTGACAGTGGAAATAGAAAAAGCCCTGATGAGTTCTCAAAATTGGACAACCTTCCACTTCTGGAATTAAGAAAAGGTAGGTGCTACTCAGTTGACCAGATCTTATTCGCTACAAAATATCAGTGGTTTCAAGACTCAATCATACATGTACATTACCATGGCAAAACACTGAGTACCGGGAAACCTATCCATGTCAATTCCCAAATTGAGACCAGCAACTCAAAATACAGATGTTCAGTGAAATTGCCTGTTTAGTGACAAACACTCACTTGGATGAGACAGCCATACTCGCGGTGCAGATGCAGGAAGTCATAGGCCTGGAATAACTGGTAGGAAAACTCAGCAAAACTCATTCCGTGAGAACTACTCAGACGAGATTGGACACTGAGGGAAAAAATGCACCTTCTCACCATGAAATGATCTTGTGGATAAGACAAGGAAGTGAGCAGAAGAGCTTGATTTTTCTGTGCTTTAAGGAAAGCTTAAAAAACCAAAGATTCTAATGTTTGAGGATTTCATCTACATGACAATGAAGTAACCAATCCTATGGATAACATGCATCTACAATTCTTGAGGATTCTTGGGGAGCTGATTTAAGTAATTGGCCACAACTCCATGGGTACAGCTCACACTTTACTTGCCAGGAGAAGTTCATCACAGAAAATGTTTGAAGTAAAGGTTTAAGGTCATAGTAACGTAAGATATTACCTTTGTCTTGAAAGCAACTTGCCCATTCTCAGCTGACGACCGACACTGGACAAGAACTTGATAACATTCAGATCTTTGTACCAACTGTGGTTGTCCATAATTCTGGGGAGTTAAATAAGTAAATGTCCAACTGAACAAGGAGTTGGCATACAAAAGGTATTCTCTAGTCTGATATATGTAATATAAGGGTTGCCTTCAACACGTTTGAATGGCATATTTGAAAGGACCTCGAAAGTAAAGAACAGATGGGAGAAAGAAACTAGTTGCTTTGACACACAAGTGGCTCAAAGGGAAAGGTTTTCCACAACTGGCCTTATTCACACATCGGCCTTATTGAATTGAGCATGAGATTAACTTTTTAGAGGCACCTGAGAATAAAACTGAAAGCACTGAAGTGAAACTTCATTTAAAGTCACTTATGACTATGAATTTAAAATTTGTGAGTAATTATATCCAAATGTTTTAAGCCACATTAAATAAAGTGAAAGTAAGGCATGAAACCAGAAATAGAATAAGATTACACTGAATAAGATTGAACTGAATAAGATTCAGGGAACACAATCAAACATGCCTTCCCCATAAAAGGGTTTATTGACAGATGCAGATATTTCTAACCTGATTTGAGGCAGTGGCCTGTCCTCCTGCCACAAAAACCTCTCATGATTGGTGAAAATTCTCTCCAGACTGCTCTTGATTGAGGCTGCATTGGACTGTACCACTGCAGACTGAAGGGGTGCTCTCTCTTTTGTTTTTCCGCTGGGATCGCCTATCAATGCTGTTGCCCCACCAATCTGAAAACAACCATAAGATAAGTTTGTAACGAATAAATTCTAAAGTGTAATATTTTTCGGTATAGAGAGTGGGGGTATTCAAATTATTCTCCCTGAAAATAATACTGGTGTCCCCAGTGATACGTACCAGAGCGATAGGGTTGTGTCCTGCCCTCTGGCAATGCAGTAACGCAATGATGGCTAGAAGGTTACCAATATGGAGACTGTCTGCTGTAGGGTCAAACCCACAGTAAATACACTGAGGTTCAGAAGTCAGCAACTTGGGTAGATCACTGCAAGAAAGAGAAAAACAGACCATGAAGAATGTCAGATTTTAGATACTGCATTACTAAACTCTTCATAAATCTACAAAATATTACAAAAACATTAGTTTTAAATGTAGCTTAATAGAGTTTTAGAAGATTTTGTATGTAATTTTTGGATACATATCCTCTCTCCCACATCTTTCTAGCTTCAGTTCTATAAGGCCATAAGAGCGACGAAAATAATTTCCAAACCAACGTATCAGGAGTGAAAAAATATTAGTTAATGAGTGATGCAAACAGTTGAAATATTGAAGTATTTTAAAATTTGGTAAATTTCGTTTTTGTTATTTTAAAAACTTTTTTTTAATTGCAAGTTTGTTTTTTTTGGTTAATTTTTCTTTTGGTTTTGAAATGCATATCTTCGCACAGTCAATTAAGGATGTAAAGCAACAATCTTAGAGAGTTTAATTTAACATAGCACGGTTGGAAATCACTTCAATACAAAGTAAAAACAAGTTTAAGGCACACAACTGATTTAAACTCTGACTTCTACCAGGTCAAGTATTAAATTCACCTTGCTTCAGGGAAGATGTCATGGAAGACGCCTCTCTCACTCAGCGTCAAGACATTGCGTTTACTGCTGTACCATCTTCTCAGTAAATGTGGGCCAGAAAATGACATTATAACCTGCCTCTTACCCCAGCATGCCAGTGCTCGATTGACAAACACACTGGAAAAAAAAAAGGAGAAAAATGTTCTAAAAACAACTCAGTTTAATAAAAGCTAGAACTACTTTTCAGGACAGTGAAATTTTGAACCATATCAGGCCTATCCTTTAAGTGTTGAAAGTTTGAAATAAATTGGATTGAGATTAAATTCCCAAATAAAGAAAGTAATACCTACATAAAGGCTAATGAGATTCGGGCAAAACATGTGGAAATGGTGGAAGAAAAATATGTTTTAGCTAAATTTACAACAAATGAGCCTTGAAGATGAAAGTGCAAATCATCACCTTCATGACCTTGCTTGATTATAATTCCTGACATGCCTGACCTACATAACCTCCCTTATACTATCAAGCAAACATGCTTCAGTGTCCATTGTATGCAGACACAGTCGTGGGCCTAGACGTGCATGACCAGACTGTCAATCAGAGTCCAACAATTTGTTTCGTTTGCACAAGCCTGACAAGCATCTTCGGAAAGTCTTTATCTCTCTTTATCTTTTTTATCACATTTATCATGTTTATGCTCACTAAACTTAGGCCAGGGCCCTACTCTTTCCTTAAGGCTTAGCATGCTTACTTAAGCCTAGTCGGAGAAACGTGGACAACACACGTACCAATAAATCACCTTTATTAATATTTTGACTTAGGTGGTAGTAGAGTCCAAAAACCCTTCATCATGGGCCTTTCATTCCATTAATCAATTTCACTCAAAATAGCTTGTATCGTACATGGTTGTATCTCGAATTCACCTCCAAAACGGTCTTTAAACTGTCTAATGCACCCACCTTGCCCTTGGAATTTACTGGGGATCAGAGGTTCAAATGATGGTGGTAAGGTTTTAATATAGAGAAAAAAGAGGAATTTCCCGGAAGCTACTCGGACTAACATGACTGAAGCTATTCAGGCCATCAAGCCCAATGTTGAAAAAGCCTACGCAACTATCCTGACTATAATAATAATATACAGTAAATGGGACATTAATAAATGACTGAGGGTGCTGTTTATTTGGAAGCTTATTTTCTTAAATAGGAAATTGTGATTGAAATTCGTATTTTTTTGCATGCTGTAGCTCTTCTATTTAGGCCCTAATTCCTAATTTCAAAATTTTCAAAATTTGAAGTGAAGCCAGCATTTCAGTGAAAAAAGGCACAAATAAGAACAAAGACTTTACAAAACTATGAATGTTTAGGTTTTCAGTTAAAATCTACGCTCATTTTATTCTAAAAATAATCACAGTTTGCTCTGCAATACACCAGTGGAAGGTGATACATGAATAAGCCTAAATAAATGTACAAAAAACATCTTGAAACATCCCTGCTTCAAATAGATTTTTCTACGCTTTGCAGAGTCCGACGGAACCAAAGTCATATCAAAATATTTCTTGTGACATCCTATTCAAGATAACTTCAAAAATAAAACAGGAGAAAATATTAAAAAATTTATTAGCCTCCTTTAATACTGACACTGACAGTAGGCAGTATTCAGGCCTATAGTATAGGTGATAATGTTACGCCCCAACTATAGCATCAACTATGGTTGGGCCGTCCCAACTATAGTTGGGGTGGCTCAACTACAGCAGAGAGGTCCTGTGTGCACGATGCGCCCAGCATGTGCCAAAGTAATATTGTTTACAAATGTCATGTCACTGGTCATAGGCCTAGATGAACAGATGAAGTGCCACATTTTACATGAATTGTGTCAAGTGTGAGACAGATTGACTTGGATAATGTTGAGACATTTTCCACGGACATTGGTCAACAACAGTTGGGCCAGCCCAACTGCAGCACTACAGTTAGGACAGTCCCAACTATAGTTGGGACTTATGGTATAGTTTAGTTCAAGGGGCGTAATAACGTTAGTCCATCAAGTTCTAGGCCTATCTTTCTTGGAATCATCAATCAAAAGATCAAGCATAAAAGCACTACTGGTGAATAAAAGTAATCGGCATAAAATTCACACAAGTTTGCTTTCGGTAGAGTTAATTAAGCCCCGATTAACTTACAAGCAACATTTCACACTATTTATTCCCATGGAGGCTGCCATGTTGAATTTTTCGGAAGGGCGCCACCAAGAGTTCCGGTACCCCGGCGCGCGGCACACGATACGAGAGAACGGGACAACGCGTGAAACTATGAGGTTGAATGAGTGCCTCTCGATTGAAGGAAATTGTGTTGTTTTTGTGCCATACAAAGAGCACCACGTTCTCAGGTACTCTGGAATAATAGTAGTGGGCCCATTGTTTTCTGGACAGAGGTAGAATTTCTACTGGAGAGAGTGATGAAAACGAACAAACAATTTGCATAACTTTCCATAGACAGAAGTACCAGCCATGAAAGTTTGCCCAACATGATACTGAACTTGTACTGAAGAGCCAACGGTCTTGGAAATACTTAACTTTTCACTGAGCCAGTCAATTAATGGTCATGAAATACTTGCCAAACATGCTAACTTTCCACTGAGCTAGTCTCAGTAACTTCGACCCTACGAATCGCTTAATTATTATCATTTGGGCATGGTCGGGCGATTCATAGAGTCCAATTACTCGGACGGTCAGTGAGCCAGCTGGATGCTGTGAACAGTTTAATTTTTACTAAACCATGTTGACCCTAATACTAGCCAGCCAGCTCAAGTGTGCATGATCAGTGGTGTGATGTCAGAAAAAGAGGGATTAATTTTGATTGATTAAAATACAGGAGACACAAACTGACAAAGCCACTATTTATATCGGTGGCATCACATATCCTGGCAAGAAGTGTTAACTGGTCAACAGCAGAAAGTCTGGCAAAATTGTATGTTGCTGGCTCAGTGGTAAGTTAGGCAAATGGTTTTCACTTTGAGACTACGTGTATGTAGGAAGTTTGCAGATTTCTCCTTATTGTCCTGGTGGAAAGTTTGGCAGTTGTTTTCAAGGCCATTAGCTGGCTGAGTGGGACTTTTGTAAGCAAATTCTCATCTTTCTTACAGGAATGCCAACTCGCATTCATGCACTGAACATCAGACGTTTTGTATTCCAAATTGGATTTCTCATGCTGAAAAAGAAAAGAAGAATTTTTTCCCACATGTTTATAAATGTGGATTTATGTCTCACCGATGTTTAAAATTACAATAAAGTTATGTAAAATTGATTACAGGGCTCGTTGTGCTTCTACAGTTTGAAAGAAGCCTTGTGGTAGGTCTTCACAGGAATTAACTTATGAGAGTAAAATGATAAAACTTGACGTCAGTACCGTGTTATCTTTCAATAGTGTATTTACTTGTTTAGGTACAATGACTGGATGCAATCTACAGAGTTGCAACAGTTGACAGCGTCTGAGCCCCTGACTCTCCAGCAGGAATATGAAATGCAGAAGAGCTGGCACCTGGATGAAAATAGTCAGTAGCATAAACAAGGGGGCTTGTGATTGTTAGGGGGGTATATGGTGATGTAGAAATTGCTATTTTCTTCACTCGTATGTTTTGTGGAGATCTCTTCCCTTTCGCAACTTAGTTTCAAAAGAAACCACTTTCATTTAAATGTCTTTTTTTCTGTTTATATCTCAGAATGTACTTTTATCCTACTGCTGAAGGAGAAATGGGATGATCCAGAGTGTAACGAGATAGGTATAACTGTCCTGTTGAAGTTATAAGTTGCAATCAGCACCTTAATCAGCAAAACATGAAAATTTTTATTTGTTTTTTTGCTTGAGACTGAAGAGAAATTACATCAACTTTTCAGGTTGCCCATGGACTGAACAAGGCTTGTTGTGGCTTTGAAGGTTCTGTTTCCTCAAACACATTCAGACATCTGATATTTGACTTTGCTCGGACCATAATATGCTGGAGCCATCAGCCACTTGTAATTTGTACAAGGCTTGATGGCCTAGTCTTGTTGGTAGAGAATGTGTTACTTGTTTATCGTGCAGTGCATGATTTTTGTGGATGAATTCATGGAACCTGGCAAAAACAAAGGCTGGGAGGGAGATGTGAAATTGGGGAGTCATTTCTTTGTGGCCTTTAGGTTAGGGCTAATTTTGGGGACTTTTTACAGACTCTGAAAAGAAAAAATATCCCCAAAATGGCCTTTCTCATATTTCCAATGTTTTTTCCTATCCATCAATGAGCAAATTTGAATACTTTGGTGAGTTGTTACTGCCTCTAACCCTCCAAGATCCTTCAAAATCCACCAGGAGGCTATTGGAGGATGTTGAAGGATCGAGGAAGGTAGATTTCCGCAACTTTTACTTGACGTGGTACTTTATGCTCCCTGAAACTTGTCATTTGTCAAAGACTGTGTCATTGCTACATGCACCTGTAGTCGGAGATTTCAGGCTCTTTGGTAAGGTTCATAGCAATAATGGAGGAGTTAGAGGGGGTTAGGGTTAATGAGGTGTTATCTGGCATGTCATTGTAGACATATTTGATTGGTGTGGATTCATTTTTCAGATTGCATGTGTGGAGATGTCAACTTGTACTTCATAGACCCAGATGACAGCGGTGTGAAAACTGCAGAGGTGGAAATCATGATAGCAGGTGATTGGATTCCAATTATTCGCAAGAATCACTTGGCTCCTGCTTTACAGAGTTGGTCACTTTGCAGCAGGCTCAGTCCACAGGTTTTGTGAAATAAACCAGTAATTGCTGAAATGTCGAGGTGGGGTTGAATTTTCCATTTCCCTCATAACAGTATGAAATATTGTAATATATATCCAGCTTTTGCAAGATTTGTTAATTCATGTTTAAATTGTTCTTTTGTAGAACCATCTTGTAGAAGGAAGGGAATTGGCCGAGAAGCGCTTGTACTTATGATTCAATATGGTAAAGCACAATTTTTAAAAAAAAATCTTAATAAAGTCAACAACATTTAAGAAGCAATTTGAATTAACTTGTGTCCCTTCTGTCATTGTGTACGGCATGTTTTCAGCACAAGATGTCTTAATTCCGGAATCTTTGTCTTTCTTCAGGGGCTACTAAACTCAAGGTTCGCCGATTCATTGCAAAGATTGGGCTCCAGAATCAGCCAAGCTTGGCTCTATTCAAGAAACTTGGCTTCAAGCAGGTAATTAGACATTGTATCAAATTTAATCTGACGTCAGCATTTTTTGTGTCTTTCCAAATAAAAACGAAGTATTTTGTATTTGAATTTTCAGGAATCGGTGAGTGAAGTCTTCCAAGAAGTGACCTTGCAACTTGAAGTGACTGAGGAAGTCCAGCATTCTCTGAATTTGCAGACAAACCACATGAAATACAGAGACTATAAGACAAAAAGGTGACTGGGACAGACTTTCAAATGCTAAGGCAGCAAGCTGGTCGTTCTTTGTGTTAGCTATTCGACAGGACGGCAATATGGCCAGCCAAGTCAGCTAGCCACATGGGCAGGGTGCTGGTCGGCTTAAGTTAACCAATTACTGCATAAAGAGATGGAAGACCATTCATTGGAAAAGTCAGTTGGTCGCAATTATGTGGAATTGTTGCAACTTGGTTCGGTGGCTTTTAAGTTCTTGGCCGGCTAGCAAAGTAATCAACTGACCAAGGCACTCGGGAGTCCGTGCACATAAGGAGGCCCACTAAACCATGACCTGGCCAAATGAATTGGTAGCTAGTCCAGCAAATAGCCAGCCAACCGGATCAGCAACTACAATAATAGGCCAGCCAGTCTGACAACGACATGATTGACCAGTCTGGTCACCAAATAATAACCAGGTTATTCCACTTTTCAAATTCCTGTCTTTTTGGTCACAAGGCCAATCATGAAAGTTACTAGCAAGTCAGCTAATCAACCACCAGTTCAGTGGACAAGAAGCCCTCCATTGGCTTTTATCAACCAGGAAAGCAGCCATCATTTGTAGCACATACACAGATTGAGCCTGCATATAAACAGCTCATCTGACTATGCCACGGCACTTAAACTAATACAGGTCCATGGCATACCACAAACTAGTGCTCCATTACTTATTATTAATAGAAATTCATGGAAGGGATAGGTTCCAAAGATCACACAGGATTTCCTTCTTATATTGACATACATGTAACAAGAGACAACATACCCTCAGTCAGTGTAACGTGTTTCCTATGGAGAAAGTTTATTGAAATTACATTGTCATGCAAAATAAAGAACAGTCCTTTCTAACAAGCACTAGTTTTGTTTACACATGAAGAGGTACATACAAATGACTTCTTTTCAAGTTTACAAAAGAAAATTGTGTTAATCCATATTACATTTTCACTGCCATTTATACAAATATACAGAGCAAGGTAAGTTTATTGGAATGATTCTTCTGACTGCGGAGTGAGGAGTAAGCCATGAGAGTTGGTTTAAGCCTTAAAAAGCAGAAAGACGAGCAATGCTGAGTACGTGTTACAGCCTGAGGAATAAAATGGAAATGCGATAGCATAACTACAAGCCCCAACTTATGCATCAGGAAAATTGGTGTGCTGGAAAAGAGAGCTAAAAAAGTTGCTGACAGCAGAAACAGAACAAAGCTACCTGACATTTTTGATTGCAAGTTGTGGAAGACTAGAAATACACTGCTGTACATGTAGGGGTTGCCAAAAGTCAACTGCGACTCCACAATTCTCTGTAATTCTTAAGTCAGATCACAAATCCGTAAACAAAGGAAACCTTAGTTGAAGTTTCATTTGAAAAGCTTGTGAGTTGACTTGGGTCTAAATGACTTGTGACTGATCGGCCTATAATTTAACACAGCAACGTGTTTCCCTATGTGACTGCCAAGTCTGAATTGTAGTCCATGAAATCAACATGACTATCAGATACATGTATATGTATATCCAGAGCCTTTAAAGGTGTATTCAATTAACATAAGACTGTCCTATCAAAAGAACATGCCATGTGAAAGATGTCTTTAATACTGCTCTAGTTATGTACACGCCTGAGCATATTGGTAAGAATCTGTTCTCACAAAGCTTACCGACAACATAATGAATTGTTACTATTTCCTGTGGTCACCTATGATTAACCTGGCATTCTTCCACAAAAAGTAAACTTTTTCACTTCCGTACTCAAATAAATTGATGCCATAGAGCTATATGTATAAACTAAAGCGATGACTTGTGTATTAAGTGATGTCTGCTGGGCACATCCATGTTTATGCACAAACCAATGGAAAACTCAAAATTTTGTATGGCTATTGGCATATCTGTGTCCGTACTCGAAAACAATATATCAGCAAAGCTGATAACACAAAACTAATGCACAATCAGTAAATGTGTATTTCATTCTGCTCTGCGTAAACAACGCACACGTATGCGTTTCAGATAATTTTGCTGTGACTTTTTAAATTGGATTTTAGCGGTACCCAATGTGCGTTGCATTTGGAGTACGTAATTTGATGTTCATTCTATCTGATTTTGAATGTTGTACAAGCACGCACATGGACTCAAAATATCAGCCAAGGACAGCGTCAAATTTTCTCTGCATGAAGAAGTTAAAGCTCTAGTGATTTGATACAGCCCCATGATTGATGCACAGTGTTTAGAAATTAGTTTTTGTATTGAAAATCCATTTAACATTTCCAAATGCAAATGAAACAAACTGCTTCACTACCCTTTCAGAAACTTGAATATTCATGTACGCATTTCTTCCATTCTAAATTTCCAACACAGGAATAGATACAGTCTGCCTTCAAATATGCCAGCATTTCATATCATACCAAAAGCACAGTTTTCAGCACCAAAAAAAATGCAGTGATTACAAATATACCCTCTTGGATATGAAATAAATGTTTATAAATTTTGAAAGACTTCAGAACTGATGATCACTGGGACCATTCGTATGTTTTACCAGATCCTGACTAGTAAAATGTACATTTAATAATACAAACTTTCACCTCACAAAAAAAAGAAAGAAAGAAAAGAAAATGCTTTACATGCAATGAGCCAGCTTTGTATGGTTCAAATTTTGTCATTCAATTTTGTCAAAGCATTCCTTAACTGGGGGTATTGGTATTGACTGATAGCATAAAGCAGCTTGATTGGATAAGGAAGAGGTTCAAAAACAAGCAAGCTGATGAGTGGTTGGTGACCTGGTTTTGAGGTGAAGCATGAGGCGTCCCACTAGGAACATTTCATTAATGGAAGTTCACTAGTTCAGATTGGAATTTCCACAATCCCTTATGATTCCTAAGAACACTGTGACGGCCAATCAGCATGTACTAGTAGACTTCTCCACTGGATGCAATATTTCTCTTATTCCAAAGTATGTCCTTGGGATTAAAATGGATTCCATTCAGCTCTAAGGCCAGTTACAATTTTTATTTTTGCATATTTAAGTTTAGTTAGCATACTTTATATCAGCTTGATATTTCAGCTCCATTACTTAACTGGCTGCCCATCGAATTATTTATCAAATGCTGTGAACAAAAATAAAATGCAACAGATTTTTTTCTCAGTATTTGAGATATTTTATACTACATAAAGGAATTCACCGAGGTGTTGAATTCCCAACAATACATGTGATCATGTACATGTGTCAAAAGACACATTGTTATAGACTGTTTGCATAGATGATTACATAAGTTGCAATATATGTTAACAGTTACATATCTCTTACAAAAAATAAAGCATATCAAATGCGAAATAGAAAAAGTGTATGATTTCATTATCAATAGAAAAATAGCTGTTAAAAAAGGACTCAATCTATAAGTATAAAGAGATCTTTGCCAAAAATATGTTGCTGATTTTTTTCCCAATGTCAGCAATGAGGGAATGTCAATTCCACAAAAAGTCTCGGCATCCATTAAACAGTGAGTAATGCACAGATTGACATAAACTTTACAGGTGAAAATGTCAATTACCAATTGAGCGCTGATTTGCTTGACGAACTAAGCAGCCAGAAGTTGCATACTTTCTACAGCAATCCATCTATGGATCTCTTAATTACTCAAAGCTGCAAAATTGGCAGCAGTTTCAGAATGGCGTCCTGCTAAGCAAAGGGATGGAGCAAGCAAACTTTGGTTATAAGCGAGGCGTGGTTCCAGACTGCCAACCCTACACATCTAGGGCACGGATATGTTCTTTTTTTCCGCAGCACACAAATACTTAAATAATACTATTTTTACCTTTTTCTACCTTCTTTTTTGCGAACAATTTGGAAAAAAACAAAAACTATAGCACTTCATATAGGGATAGCTATGACAGGAGATGTGGCTCATACAATAAATACACCAGGCAGTCAAATTCACACTTGACTACTATATGATGCTGGATTACAAGTAATCTGAGTGGACTGGTTCCTCTCCACAGACTTTACACACGCAAATGCCAGCACCCACTGACATGTCTGTTTACCAACACCAACGATCATTATGCATGGGTGGCCAAAGTCTGCAGAAAGTTCACCATTGGTTGGCAACAACCTTTGCCTCAAAATATACATTTTGCTTTATCTGTGTTGAAATGGAAGGCTGTTTCAATAAGTAGAGAATTGTAATTTAGCAGAAATCTGTACTCAAAAGCCACCGTGGTTTTGCTGCAGTTGGCCAAAACTGCACTTGCACTGTCGCAAGGTCTACATTTAAATGAAATGGCGTCATGTCACAGATAGCAAGGAAAGTGCACTGTCTGCTTTCAGACTTCAAGTGAGAGATAATGGCGGTGCGCACGACTTAAGGGGCAATTCCACCAGTCCTAGTACTTCGGTGGCTGGTCCAGAATTATTTTGGTGGGGGTTGGTTGAGGTGGTTGATTGTCAAGTGTCAATCGAGCTCTGTCTTGATGACATCACACTTTGCTTGCATGTGCGGATTCCTGAGAAGCCAGCGCAGTGGGGGGGGCATCATCAGTACAGAGGCATGTGGCTAGTTCTAAAAATTAGGGGTCCATTTTTTGTGTGTGTCCCTGTCACATCTGAGATACAATTTTGTAAGAACACATTTTTTAATTTCCAAGAGTGATGAATTAATGCAAGTAACCTGCCAAACAAATAATAGTTTGAAATCATTTCAGGTGATATTTCCAAGTTAAATAACAAAGGTCAGATGTACCAGGGACACACAAATGTCACACTTTTGGACCCCTAATTTCTGGAATTACCCAAATTACAAGAAATACTTTCAAATCATCATACACACACCAGCCACTAGGCATTTCAGGGAGGGCAGATCGGCACTTCTTTTCAGGGGGACACACAAAATTGACACCAGTTACATAGAAGGGGAGTTAATCAGTCACAACTCCTTTTCTCGTACCTGCCCTCGCACTTGACAGATTTTTCTTGGACTTGTTTTTTTTTTTACATTGGTCATATCAAAATATAATGATCCATTCCTTCGTTTAAATCAGGCCTTTTTACACTCATCAGTCTTCTCTTTACTGTTTATATCCACTTGCACTTGTTTCTATTCAAGCAGTGAGTACCAATACTGGGTGGGTACCAGGGAAAGTGACCTCATTTGAATGACCCATTCACTCTTTCCTACCATGAACCCAGTTGAGGTAACTGAGCAAATACATAGAAACTCAAGACAACACTTAAAAACAGTTGTTATTCATCTAATTATTGGAAAACAGAACTCCATGGAAACTGCGTCCAAGTGTCTAACATATCTTGGAGATTTTTGTTTGTTTGTATGTTTTTGTTCCTCTATTACTCGTTCACTACGCCTATTTCCTTGTTGATGGCGGTCATCCAATTCTTGCGCTCTGTTCCCGTCTCGGCCGAGAAGAAGAAATCCCGGCCGGGTACTCTCACGGTGAACGAGAAGCCCTGCTCTAGCTTGCCCGGGGGAACGCCCTCAATACACTTGTACTCACTCAAGTTGGTACCAAGCACCACCGACTTCTTGCAAACGTCATCCTGGGTGGGATGAACAGAAAAAAAGCTCACAATTTACTGCCTGATGTCCATCCACCAGAAAGTAAATGATACTACAAAAAAAAAAATGATACTGACAAAAAAAAGGGCAATGAGGTGAAGAACCATTCTCACATGACCATTGTGAGGGGGAACAGGACGAACCTTTTCCCAGGGAAAAGATACAAAAAACAGGAAAAGGAAAGAAAAAGCAACCCCCCCCCAAAAAAAGAAGGAAAGTGGACAATGAAAATTAGTTTCCATGGCAATTCCTTGAAATGAACTCCTTTCCCACTAGTAATGGTTTGATACATGTAGTTCGGATGAGATTACTTTGCCCCCCGCCCCCCAAAGGAAATATCCTGGAAAACGCCCCTGGGTTTTCATTACTACTCTTCCATATAACTGGCATTAATGCTGGTTCAAGCTTGAGCCATAGTTTGTGCCGACATTACCAACGTCAAATGTACATGACATCATAAACACTGTTCAGCTACATCCCCCAAACACTTCCAGAATTGTAGGTCTCATTCGAAGGCAGCCAGCCATACTTTCTGAGCGAACAATGTGATGCATATGGAAACGTCTTCCACGATGACGAGGTAACTTTTTACCTTGAATTTACATTACGCTAAATCTACATTCCAACTGAAATATAACAACTCATTCGCAAAGGCTTTCTCTGTGACACAGACGGAACGATCTTCGATATAATGGACTCTTAATTCATTCTGTAAATTTTCATTCATTACGTACACAAAATCTTGGACTCGACTATGAAAACAAACTTCTTTTGAAGAGTAACAAATGTTTTTTCATTTGGATTTGTAATTGGTCAGTGAGTTATTTTTCAATTGATGCAACCATCAAGAGTGACAAACTTGTTTCCTCACCAGGGGTGTCTCGTAGTATGTAATCCTCTTGTGAGTGAGTATCACCCAACGCTTCCGGAAGGCTTCATTACCTTTGGAACCTGTTTTATGCAGCCACCCTTCTTTAATTATATCTCCTTTGTTCAGTATCTTGGTTATCTGTGGATACAGCAAATCGGATCACTTCTGAACTGGAGTATGCAAAGAAAATTTAACCGTACCAGGACTTGACCTGAGACCTGCATACTGCTCTTCTGGTGCTGTACAAATATATAATGCAGCCCAGGAATCTCATCCTTATGACACATGTTCCATAAAACTACAGTTGACAGAAACACTGTCAAGGGAAGGATTTGAACTTGAGACCTTCAGGCTGCAATTCCAGTGTTCTACCCAGGGACCCCAGGGTTTCCCTGCTCATGCAAGTGTAAGGCGGCCCACCTCACTGATTTCAGTGACCACCTCAGGCTTTTCTGTTGAATTTTACCACCTCACACTTAAAATATACAATAATGGAAGGAAAAAGCAAAATATCTTGGATATTTTGAAATAGATCTGTTTTAAATTTTTCAGAATGGTAAGAGGCACACACAATACAAGATCAATTTTTTTTTCAGAGGAGAAATTTGGAGAAAGTGTACTACAATGGCCGGTTCATACTCCCTGCGTATTCACTGTGTACGCAGCGCGGAGGTCTATTTTGAGGTGTCTGCAGTGTGTGAAGGAAAGTGCAATGCATAATGAAAATACGCGTCCTTGCACGCAGTTTCTGAAAATAATGGATAGTGCGTATGCACCAAATGTATGCGTATTCAGACAAATAGAAATTTGAAAACTTTTGTCGGATACGTAAACGCACCTGAGACTTGACAAAAAATGAAAGTGTGAATGTCAAATGCGGCATTCACAGAACGCAGTGTGTGTGTGCAAATGCTGCGAGTATGAACCAGCCCTTAAACTAAAGAGAATTTATTTTAGGCCTTTTTGAAAATGCTCGCTTTGTTTAAAGAACTTGAATGTTGGCAAAATTTGTTTGACCATGCATCTAACACATGTCAGTGACCCACGGGAAACCCTGGCTCTGCCATCTCAGTGTTCCTGTCCAACGTAAATCTTTGTGGAAGGGATGTACATGTATACAAGTCATTCATACATTGAATCCCCAACCTGACTTGTGAATGGTCACTTTTCATAAAACGGGCCAACGTCACGAGCACAAATGGAAGCAAAACGGTAACAGGTTTGGACCATTTACAGACCTCTTCCTGGCACAGGCCACCTGGAAATGCCACCATCAGACGGTTATACTTCATGTGACGGATGGCGTTATACCAGTCAATGATCTCCTGCAGAAAAAGAAGGAGGAAGAAATATTGAGCATAAAATGGAACACACATACTCAATTCACAAACATAAATGTAGAACTTAAACAATAATAACATGATTTCTTCAGAACATTAATTATTCTAAGGTTTGCAGTGCAAGACTTGTTTGTAACTTAATTCTTGGGATCAGGGGCTGGCTTTTGTAGAGCTGCTAAAGACAGAACTCTGTTGAGCACAGACAAATTTTGCTTAGCAACAGAGGGTTATCAGCCAATACGTCATTTGATCCATACTGCCTATTCAGTGTTCCTCACATCTGCTTAATGAGTAATTCAGCTCAGCAATGTTTCCTATTCAGAAACTCTACACAGATGACTCCAGGCCTCTGTTGGTTTAATCACAGATCACTTACTTTTCCAGTGTCAGTGTAGACGAAGATGTTACGAATTTCCCCGCCCTTCTGCTCAAAGTAAAGCTGCATTCCATTGGGATTGCCCACCTTGTCCGGACAAAAGGCGACGTGCAGTTTCCCTAAATCAATGACAGCCTTAGGCTCCTTGGCCTGCAAAGACATTCAGAGGGAAACCAAAGATTGAAACAATAACAACTGTCTTTTCACTACCATTTTTTTATTCTGTGTTGAATCTTATGTAGAACGACCAATTTTTTGTTCCGTGTTGAATCTGGTCCCGAATAATTTTGGTTCCTTCAAATCTTCAGGACCCAACACACGTGTCAGGATTTTGCAGCATATGCTCCTGTTTTGTTTTGGGATCTAAGATCTTAGAGTTCATTCAAGTGATTCATTTTTGCCCATTCAAAAAGGATTCTGGCGAATAAGGCTTGATTGTAATAACAAACAAGCATAATTAAAACCATAAAATATGGTGTGCAACAAACTATGCATAATGAAAGTGGGAATTATATGTGAGAGCCCGTCCGGTCTGAACTACTGCAATTTTCGGAATATAAGCCACCCAGCGCATAAGCCACAGAGACATTTTTCAGCATGAGAATCAACACATAAGCCGCGGCTTATAGTTCGAAAATTACAGTGACTTAACGTTAGTTCACATACATGTATTTTGCGCCTAAGTTTACACCATTGGTAACAGTAACTTTTGATGTGTTAGATTATCTTCAAACTTTGTCTTTGGGTATATTTTAGACAAGAGTCAAATACAGACTTAGTACTCAACAGCTTCAGTTGACTCTCATTTCAAATAATGTTTACATGAATCTAAACCCAAGCCTTGAATACACAGCCCATGGTCCCAGGTCAAAACTAAAAGGCACACATGTACATGTATATATGTATGGGCCAGTTACAGATGTGACTAATAACAGGGTTACTCCAGTATAAAACAGAATCACTCCAGGATATGGCTTCCATGAATACAAATCCCACATCCTTGCCCAGTGACCTTGGCCTTTTCAAAAGCCGATGGCCCTCCCACAGTTGGTTAAGCATGCAAAAATAAAAAAGGGTAAAATAATATCAATGACAAGTACGTACACACATGTACACACAACTGAGTGGAAAAACCAAATTGGATGAATCATGACTTTGAGCTATTACGTCCAAAAAACAAAAACAACCCCAAAGTGGCTGGTGATCATGATTAAGCATTTCTGATTGCTTCTTGTTGGCAAATACAAGAGCCAATTCTTCACAAAGCTCTAAATCTAGTGATTGTTTCCTGATGTGTGTACTTAAAAGGCAGGGGAGGAAAATTTTTATTTTGGTGAATTTTATTCAAGTCATCTTATATACCAATTTTGATCGCGTAAGTTCAACTACCATACTTCGGTTTTGCCCAGATGTTGACAACAGAAGCCACCTTTTAAGGACAAAAGCTTGTGGAAAGTGGTTTTTGTTTCAGTATTGTATTCCAGTCCACCACAGGTCCCAATCCATCACCAGTCATTCTATCTTAAGCCAATCCACACAAGCTAATCAAATGAGCTGTGACAAAAGCATTCTTTTGTCATTGTTCACCCTGTTACTGAAACATGTGAGGGACTTGTGACTGGACTTGTGACTGGACTTGTGACTGGACTTGTGACTGGACTTGTGACTGAACTTGTGACTGGACTTGTGACTGGACTTGTGACTGGACTTGTGACTGGAC